ATTTATACAAGAAAATTATTTATATCATTTTTCAATTTAAGCTAAAATGTTTTCTTTATAAAAATGCCAATAAACAAAATGGGATATACTCAAAATTACATAGAACAAAAAATAAGTATTTTTTTAACGATTAATATAGATTCAGAACATCATGCAGTAGTTAATAATGGAAAATGTAAAGTATTTGCTTAACAAGATTTTATAATAAAATCAAATTCATACAAGTGCATTTCTTTAAAGTGTGGAGAATAGATGAAGGGTATGCATTAGTTGCACTAGCAGAAATATAAAAGCCATATTTAAACTTGTTTAATTCTGTAATAGCAGACTCTACTGATGATATTATTGTAACTTTATATAATAATGATGAAAAAGATAAAAAAATTGAAAAAGGAAATTGTTTATTCTATATCTTATCTTATAACGGAATTATAAATAGAATTAATTATATATCTAATTCTTATTAATCCAAAGGATCTAGCAGAGCATTGATCCCTTCAGGATTTAACGAAGCTAAAAATGTAAAACCAAAAGAAGAACCACAAAGTGATAAAGACTCTGTTAAATCAAAAAGTTATCCTGGCTACGCTAAATTTATATTATCAAGTATAGGAGAATTAATTACTGATAAAATATGTGATAAAGATAATACTAAATCTGACAAAGATAAAGACAGTAATAGATCACAAAGTAATCAAGACTCTGTTAAATCACAAAGTGATCCTCGCTACGCTAAATCTATATTTAATTTTGGTAAATAAAAGAGATTTAATTATCATAAATACAACTTATTAAAATAACTTAGCGAAGCAAGGATCGTTAAACGATTTAAAAGAAACGTTTTCTTTATAAAAAGAATGGAATATAATAAGGACTATAATAGATATTATAATAACAAAGAATGCAAAAATGAAGAATGTAAAAGTATTTATCCAGATCCTAGCCAGTTTAGAGTTGATCCAACTGCACCACCACTATCTGATCAGAGATATCGATTAGATAAGATAAGTGAAATTCAAAGTAAAATAGAATGTGAAAGAAAAAGAAGAGCTATGTTAAGTAAAAAGTACCATAGAGCTGTGAGAATCATTTCAGCAATTGATAATTCATTGCTAGCTACTACTATGACATTAGGAGCTGTTGGTATAGGTCTTTTAGCAACTATAGTAGCAGCAGCAGTTGCTATTGCACTCAAAGGAGCTGCATTAAGTGCAGGTGTATTATCATTAATAGTATCTTAAATTATTAAAAAATTAATCATAAAAGCAGAAAAGCATGAAAAGATTTAAGTATTAGCTGATGCAAAATTAAATACTATAAGCGACCATATTTCTAAAGCTTTAAAAGATGGTAATATCGATGATGTAGAATTTACAATGATACTTTCAGAATATGAAAAGTTTCAAAAAATGATTGAAGAAATTAGAATAAAATCTAAAAATGAAATTGATGAACAAACTAAACAATCAATATTCAACCAAGGTAAAGAGAAAGCTATGAAAGAGGCGATGGAACTGTTGGAGAATAGATTTAGTAAAAATCAAAATATTAGCAAAATAAATATTAATTAAATCATAATATATGTTTATTTAAAACATAGATTATGTTCAAGTAAAACATATATTATGTTCAAGTAAAACATATATTATGTTCATTTAAAACATTATAGATATCAAAGAGATTTAGCTATTCTTGATTATGCAAATAATTTAAAAAAATTATTGCATATATAAAATGCCATTTTTAAAAACTACAGATCCTGATAAAAGAGATCAAATGATTAAAGAAGTAATAGAATCAAGAAAAAAAATATATCAGAATTCTTTGAATGAAAGATTAGGCGCTGATGATTTACTGATTAACTTAACAAAAACGTACAAACCAATAATAGATAACCAATCTAGTATAAAAGAAGGCTTATCTAAATTAGAAAATAAAGCTAATCAATTAGCACTTACTTTTTCAAGTTCTGAAAGAACCCCAGCTTTGCTAAATCCTGAAGTAATACATGAAACTAAAGCAATCATGCCACCTGAAGTTGTAAGTAACATGACATTAGGAGCTATCGCAACAGAATATCTAAAGTTATATACTGCTAAAAATAGTAAAAAGGTATCAGATACTACATTCGGTATACATTACAATGAAGATAATGAAAACTTTTACATTGGTAAAAAACCGATAACAATTGAAGGTAATGATATAACTATTGAAAGTAAAAAATACATTGGAACTCCTGGACTTTGGGAGTTAATAGTAAAATCTCATCCAGTTAAATATACTAATGATGATCGTAAAACGTAAAAACAAATTTTAAAGCAAACAGATGCAATTCGTACTAATCTAAATCCTGATAAGCCAATATCATCTAGAAGTTATAAATACAAAGAAATAATAAAACCAATTTGGGAAGAAATAACTGAAAAATCTGGAAAAGTAGTAGTAATTCTTCCTAGTGATCCAGATGAACTAGTTAAAATGCTTCAATTACGCATATCTACGTTAAAAGCAGGTAATACTGGAGCTAGAAATGAAGCTGTTGCAATTTGTGATGAGTTGTTACGTCAAGGTATAATTGATTCTGAATATTATAAAGAGGTACAAAAAATAATTAATGTTAGTGGAAGTGGAATATTTGATGATATTAGTAATGTATATAATCGAGCAAAATCTTCAGATTTAGTTAGAACATTATCTGCTATGAAGAATACGTTGTCTAGCAAATTAGGAAAATAGATAAATTAAGCTTATAGCAGGAAAATAAATACTTAGGTTTAAAAAGCTCAACAAAGTATAAATCTATGTAGATCCATTTCAGATTAAGATTAGCAAAGCATGAATCATTATAATGAATTAAAAAAATAGTTACTAAATAAAAATGCTCATTATAAATAATAAGAGATATATTAAGAAACATGTTATTGGTGGAAGTGGAATATTTAGTTCTATGAGAAATATGTTTCAGAGACAAGTATTAAGGAATGCACTAACAGCATCTAGAGTTTTAGCTAGTAAAGCAGCTGCTAGTGATTTAGGAAAAACTGCAATAGATGCTGCAAAGTCTGCAGGAAAAAAACTTGCCACTTCTGCAATATCTACTGCTAAAGACGTCATAGTAAATAAAGGAAAACAAATAATACAAAAAGCAAATAAATCAACTAAAGAGCTCACACCTGAAAGTAAACAAATTCTTTTAAATTTAATTGAATCTGTTGCTAATAATCCATCTAGTTCTTATGGATCCGAAAAATCTAACGTCGAAAACAGTGAAGGAAAAACAGATTTAAGTAGAATTTTGTTTGGATCAGCAATTACGAAGTCTGGATCTAAAGATTTTAAATCTAGTAACAATAAATCAAAAAAGAAAATTTCAAATGAAATAAGAATACAAAATTTAGCTAAAGAGAGTAGAGTTAAAAAAGGTCTAGATCTGTAGAAAGATCTTCTAAACTGTAGAAAATGTTAATAATTTAGGTAAAGCAACTACAATGTTAGAATTGCTCAGATATTCTATTAAATTTGATGAAGAAAAAGGTTTAAACCAGTTATGGTATAAAGATTCATCAACAACTGCAGCAATTGCTACAAATTCAGGATTTGCAGCAAGACAATCTTATTTAATTCAAAAGCCAAATACAAAAGAAAAATTTTCTTTTTCTGTTCCTCTAAAACATATTTTTGGATTTTGTGATGCTTATGAAAAAGTTTTTTTATGGATTAACACATACACTTACTCTAATTAGAGAAAGTGATAATAATGCATTTTTTAGAGCTGCAAATGTAGCTGCTGGACAAGTCAACCTTACTAAAGTATCACTTATTATGCCACATGTTAAACCATCTCTTGAATATGAACTTAAGCTTAATAAAGAAATTGAATCAAAAGAACCACTTCTATTTTCTTATAAAGAAAGATAATTTGATTTTTTTTGAAGAATTAATAATATTTCTTATAAAGAAAGACGTAGTGAATTGATAATTGTTCCACAAACTACTGAATTTACTTGGACGCTGAATGTAACATCATCTAGTACGTGACCTAGATTTATCATTATTGGATTCTAAACAAATAAAAATAACAGTCAAGAACAAAATCCTGCAATATTTGATCATTGTGACTTGAAAAATATGTACGTAACACTTAATTCACGAAGTTATCCTGAAATTGTTAATTATAATCTATCATTCACAGATCAACAATTTACAAGAGCTTATAATGATGCAGCTCAATTTAATGAAAAGTATTATGGAATGAATGAGCTTATATCACAATGCAACATAAGTACTCGAGACTATAAACCTTTATATCCACTTTTTGTTTTTGATGTAAGTAAACAATCAGCAATATTAAAGCCATCAATAATAGATGTTCAAGTTAAAGCAACATTTAATACAGCTGTTCCAGCAAATACTATGGCATATGCAGTTGTAATTTCTGATCGATAAGGCAACTTATATCTGATGGAAGCAAATTTTAATATATATATATTAGATCTCTTTCTGAACTGAGCGTAGCATGAGCCCTTTCAGGACCTAGCGAAGTCTAGGTCCTTTAAAGACCTGTGACGTCACACAAGAAAAATCCGCGACGACAAGAAACGAAATTGGCACTGATTTTTAAATCTAAAAAATTAATTTAAAAATTTATTTCTTAGTTTTACAATTTATACACGCTATGCTTGAAAATGAACCATATATTTAATTGAAAATATGGTTGAAAATGAAAATGGCCCAGAACTCTCCTTTCCCTACTACTAATGTCTTATATATATATATATATATATATATATATATATATTGCAAAGACATTTTTATTTTCAAATAAATATTTTTTTACTTTCAAATAAAAAAATATTTATTTAAAAACAAAAATATCTTTGTTTAAAAATTATTTTTATTTTCAAATAAATATTTTTGTACTTGTAACACACGCTCAGTAAAACCAAAACCTTACAATTAAAAAACTACAATTTTTATTAAGGATGCAATAAATAAATTTCTTTGAAAAAATATACAACAAAGCCTTTATAGCTTTTATTCATTAAAAAAAAACAAGAAATATTTTATAATATCAACAGTAATATATAATTTCTAAACTAAATAATAAAATTTAAATATAACGGTTAGAAGTTTTGTTATGTACAAAATTTGATTTAGCTGTTAAAAGCCTTGAAAAGATTTAAAAAAACAAAACAAAACAATTTCTTCTTTGTTTATTTTTTGAGGCACAAAATTAGTTGTTGGTAAGATCTGTTCTTGTTAGGCAACGGTACCAACCTATCAAATAATGCTGATGACAGGAAAACCTTTACTTGGAAAAAAGTGGGACGGATTGTTGAAATTTGTAATTTTTAACTTGAGGATAACTGTGTTATTGCATGGTTGCTAACTCAAAGTAATCTGTGTTTTTACGTGACTTTTAATTCGAAGAAAACTGCGTCTTTCGTGGTAGAATTCTTGCTGATTTTAGCTTAGAAGCATCATATTAAATAGCTTAGAGCATTGTTAAATATTAAATAAATCTTTTCTTCTAAATCTAAATTTTTACTACGAATATTTTCCAACTTTAACAAAAACTGGTTGAAGTGTATATGGCGGGAGAAACCTAAAAAAAAAATTACATTCGTCATAAAATTTTGTTTTTTTTTAAATGTTTTACTTTTAAATGCTCTAGTCAGTGTTATTTTGAAGATAAGGTCTCGTACGCCTAATGTCATGGACACCTAATGAAACAAAGCGGAGATGAAAGTTCTTGTTTGGCTCCCAATTTTGCCATAAATTAGAACCAACTAAGAACTGTATCTTAATTATTCAACGAGTGAATAATCAAGAGGTCGGTCTTATTCATTCAAGCATACCACATCGATAACCTGATTTGGTCTAATCATCTATGAGCTCGTCCTATGGAGAATTTTTGGGTAACCACTTAAATAAAAAGCGTAAATGGATTGTTGATAATGGTTACATATGAATAAGGTACCACCTAAGAAAAATGTCAAGATTGTACAAAGTTGAGTTTTGACGATGCACAAATCATTTGAACAAATACGCTAATACGCAATTTAATGACTTGATTTATAGTTTTCATGATAATTTTAATTTTTAATTAAATATTTTTTGAAAAAAACTTATAAAAAAAAATTATGATACTATGTTCAACATACTACAAGATGTAACATACTACAAGATGCAACATACTACAAGATGCAGCATACTACAAGATGCAACATACTACAAGATGTAACATACTACAAGATGTAACATACTACAAAATGCAACATACTACAAGATGCAACATACTACAAAATACAACATATTACAAGATGCAACAAGATGCAACAAGATGCAACAAAGTTAAAATAATATAATGAAAAAATGATATAATAAATGAACAAAAATTATGTAAAGTTTTACTGTTTGTAACTTTGAAAAGTTAGTCAACGATTGTTAAAGTGCAGATAATAATCTGATTTAAATTTTTTGGCTTCTTTAAACAGATTTTTGGCTCCTTTAAACAGAGAATTAAAACTCTTGAAATGCTACAAAAATTAAGAATCGAAGATTGAAAAAAAAAAAAAAGAAAAAGAAAAATCGCTCTAAACTATGATCATGCGTTGACCTGAATGTTAATGAAACTAAATCAAAAATAAATATTATACGAATTATTTTTGTAGATTATACTAGGAACCATTGTTTAATTGACATTGTCATGATTGTACAAAAAATCATGGTTTAAATGGTATTATTATAGATTGTACAAGAAATTATGTTTAATTGATATTATTGTATATTTGTACACTGAATCATAGTTTAATTGGTATCAAAAAATTAACAAATTTAATGGGGAACCAATGTGTTTGTTTTTCATGGACGCTTTATTTGATTTTATTGTTTCTACCATTTCATTCTTAAATGGTAAACTAATTGCAAAACAAACATAACACCTGTGCCATAAAATTTGAGACTTCAATTGAGCTTTCAATGAGCTTTCAATGAAAATTTAAATATGATAAATTTTTTTTTGTACACATAATATAATATGCAGATAAAGAAAATAAAAATAATTTTATCACAAGACTCCATATCTTCGAATTGGACAAAGTCGTGAAATGGTACCTTGTACCAGCTGAAATGGTACCTTGTACCAGCTTTTTTGCAAGATTTAGATCAAGTCTATTGGCACAAGAATCCAATGTTCAAGGCCTAATATATCATTTGTAGATTATCCATCCTTGTACACATCTTGCCTAATGTTAGCCTGAAAATCCTTTATAGCTTGAGCTTCTGGCAAGTTTTCTGGATTGTCCTTTTTTTGAACAAATGGTATCTTCTGGATTTTCAGTCAATTTATTACCGAATTAGCATCATCAGATGTTGCCAAATTGGGACAAAAAATGTACTTAGTGTCTCAATAATATTTATTAATAAAAGGTTGCAAGTGCTTTTAAATAGATCTCTTAGTTTATTGCTGGGAATGTAATTTGATGTGACCCCTCGTGGGAAAATTGCCGTCCGTACAAGTAATTTTATTTCAAATTTTGAAACATCTTAATGCTTAACAATATCTGGTTTCAAATTTTGATAATTTAAATAGTATGTATTATTACCAACCAGCGTGTTACTTGACCAACCAGCGTGTTACTTGACCAACCAGCGTGTTACTTGACCAACCAGCGTGTTACTTGACCAACCAGCGTGTTACTTGACAAAGTAAAGTAAGACTCCTTAATAAGTCAGTAATAAATTGGTGACAATATTTTGAATGTTCATTATTTCGCATTGGTATCTTTTTCATTTTATAGCAAACAATACTGGTCCATTTTTTTTAGTGAGTAATTAATCAGTGCTGTGCTAAACTCATATTTTTAAGCAGCTTGCCTTTATGAAACTTCATCACGGTGATCAAACACTTAATTTTTATTTTTTTTGAAACCACATCATTAAACTCTTTTATAATCAGATCCATTTTCAGCAAGCTGGATTATGTTGGAAACGATTTGTCTTGAAAATTTCTTATTTTAGTGGTACAAGATGAATCGCTTTCCTTAAGAACAAAGCACTAAAAAAAATTCGTAAATTCGTTTTTTTTGTTAGCTTTTTGTTTTGACATCATTATCTTAAAAATGTGTAAATTTTTTACAAAACGTAAAATATATCTAAAAACACTTTTTTCTAAGCTTCAATCATTTCACAGATTTTTATTGAACACCAGTTAATTCATTAGAACTTGGAATTTAACTTAATATTGCAAAATGTTGTTTCTAAAAATACATGACATGAAAATCACATTTGAACTTTACGAATTTCAAAAAAAAAATTAAATACAACATATGATATGACCAAGAAAGGAGTAGGGGTGAGGGGGAGTTGGTGTTTCAAAATTATAAATTTAGTTAATCTTACTGGGTTATGTGGAAATATAAATTAAATTATGCAGAAATAAAAACTAATTTATGTGGAAATATAAATTAAATTATAGGATATATAAAAAATGAAATATGGAAATAAATTAAAACAAGAAAATCAAAATTAGAAAATATAAATAAGAAAATATGAAATCAAAATAACAAATAAAAAAACTCAAAGAATGAGAATATTTATTAAATTACAGTTTTTTTTTTTAACTTTCTTGTTTTAATTTATATTTCCGCATATTTTAGTTTATACTTCCGCACAATTGAATTCATATTTCCGCATAAATTAATTTATATTAAGCCTGTAATTAATCTTTTGCAAAAAGTTCAGAATAACTTTGGCAAACGTTTCAATTTTTAAAAAACGTTTTATAAAAATTTAAAAATTTATTTAAAAATTGAAAATTAATTTATAATATATAATTTTAAAATTAAACTATAAAACGTTTTTCAAACGTTTTATAGTTTAATTTTAAAATTATATATTATAGTTTAAATTTAAAATTATGTTTAAATAAAATAAAAGCATCATTTGAGATATTACAGTAATATAATATAGTTTAAAAACTTTGGCATATAAAATTCGCAAGTAATATAATATAGATCACAGTGCATAATAATAAGCTCTGAGACCTTGCAACACATCCCCAGAAAATATTTTTATTATTTATTTATCAAAAGATTCTTCCTTATTTCAAAAATGTAAAAAACAACTTTTTTATACTCAAATTTTTAGTATGTTAATTGTGACATCAAATGAGGATGACTTGCAAAAAGCTTAGGTAATTGGAGCTAACTCAACCTCATCCCGACCCCTAATTACCCCCTTTCTAGGACTACGTCTCCTAAGATAATAAATTTTTTTTTTTAAGTTCTATCATAAATTAGACCAAAATTTATCGACAGATTGCGAGTTTTATCAAAAAATCTCTTTTTGTTTAAGATTTACGATCATAAGAAATTTCAAATTTCACAAATTTACCTGAAATAACTTTGAATGGTCATAACTTTTAAACTAGAAATTTTTTTTTGATGAAATTTAAAATTTGTTGATGAATTTGGATCTAGTTTAATATAAAACAAAAAAAGTTTGAAAAATTCCTTTAAGGAGCCATACATTAGGGGTGGGGTATTAGGGGTACAATAGGGTTAGCTAGAACTATTTTATTGCGGTAAAAATAATAATTTCTGGTCTATGTGGTTAAATTATTTTTTAGATTTTGCATGTCATATATCATCATATTATATATCAAGAAATTATGTTAAACAATTGATCATAAGGAGTTAATATTATACTTTTTACAAGCTACCTAAAAATTAAAAGCTACTATAAAAGTGTTTGTAGTTGTAAGCGTTAAAAACGCTAACAACTACAAACACTTTTAAAGTAGCTTTCAATTTGCAGGTAACCTAAGCCTACAGAATATAAAATGCACAAAATAAGTTTTAGTCTATTTAATGAATAATTGTCATAGTTTATGCAAGTTTAAACTTGCATAAACTTTCGTATTATTGCAGTAAGTATTTAATTACTATTATTATAATTAAATATTATTTTAATCTTTTGTCAAACTTAAAATTTATTTATCAAACCAAAGACTCCACCTTTAATGTTGATGAATTCGATAATATATTGCTCAACTATGTGTACTTTCGAAGGAATTATAGCCCCTAGATTTTTATAGCTCATAGACAACTGCTCAATATCTTTGAAATAAGTAGAGCTTAATGATTTTCTAAAACAGACATGGTCTACTTTTTCAAAGTCTCTAAGTACCTTAATGTATTTGGATACGGGATCTCCGATACTGGACTCCTAAAAAAACAGCTCAAAGCTGTCTATTTTTTTAAGCAACTTATTGCAAGCATTGCCTTCTGAACGATACTGCCTTTGGTAGGATACTCTTCAAATGTTCATCGTAGACAAATATCGGTCGACAAATTGTAACCCACACTCCTTGTTTTCAAACGTATTTTTTTCAATCTCTTTTAAAATTTTGTCTATAACACCTAAAAGTATATGTAGACTGGGAATATTTACAAGCTCTAATATTTTTTTATTTTTGTCCCCTGTTAATAAAGAGGGTTGAACAACATTTGCGAACATTTTTTCATTTTTAACTTTGCACCATCAAATATCCATTGGTCGTATAATCTGCACAAAGATTCTAAAGAATAATGATCAGCTTTT